CCCCAAAACCCCAAAACCCCAAAACCCCAAAACCCCACGATAATGAATTTAAGTTGAAATGAGAGTTTGGCAAATACTTTTAGAAAGCATAATCATCGTTAGACGCTAGCTCAATGCTTTTCTCTGTCTCCTTATGCCCAGGGAATTTAGGATTTGTGTATGGAGCTAATTGGTCACAGAAGTTAATTGTCTCTCCAATAGCAACTGTAGCTGCTTCCCCTTGGTACTTCTCAAATAGTTTATTAATAGTATGAACATATTGGAAATTCTTTTCGTTACCCTTGATTTCTATGTCACTGGGGTCAGGGTAACTATCCAAACTTGGGAGAAGTTCAACAAGAGTCTTGATAGCCTTTACTCCAAATACTTCGTCAATGAGGTCAAATTTATCAGAAAGTTCATGAGTAATTTTCAAAAATCCAGCTGGAAGTTCTGAGATATTGATTAGACAAGCCTTCAAATTCTCTCTAAGCCATTCATCTTGGGAGTATAGCTTGTCGACTATTTTCTGGAGAATGATTGGATTATCATTTTCATCTACTTCAAAAGTAGCTTGCTTTTTACCATCTAAATGTAAGGTACAACTCATGAGAACATGTGAAGCATTGAAGCATGTTTTGAGCTCATCCGATTTGAGGAATTTCCAAGCATACAGAATTACCTTCTCCTCAATAGCTTCATCCTTTCCTTTATCATGAAGGCAGATGTTTCCTACAACTTTAAGAGAAAGTTGCTGGATTTTCTCTTTATAAATTCCAAGTTTCTGGATTTGCTCTTCGTCTTTCAAGATTGTATTTAGACAAGAGACTGCCCCTTTGCCAAGTAGGGGTTCAATTCCGTTATCATATTTGGTGGTATTAGACATACACTCGAGGAGGTAGATCAAGTATTTCCCAGACTCTTCACGAATTTTCTTTGGATCAGCAAAATTCATAAAAGAGCTAATAATAGCAATTGCTGACTCAGTTTCGACGATAATATCACATCCGTGTCTGCTAAGACTCATTTGATAGAAAGTCCAAGCTGTAGCCTCCCTGACCTTGAGCTCATCATCCTCAAGCTTGAGAAGAGGACATGTCTCTTCTATTCTTTCTCTAGCTCTTTGATGGGACATAAATGATCCAATGAGCAGGGCAGCCTGCTCCCTCACATCTTTGTCATCATCAAGGAGAAGAGTTGAAACGATAACAACCATGTTATGGTTAATCATTTCATCGACAGTATCCTTCTGAGTGGATAACTGATTAAGCTTAATGAGTGCATCCTTCTTCCTATCAGCACTAAGGTCCCTATTGGACAAGGCTTCTGCATACTTTGGCAAAAATCTATCATGAACAGCATGAGTAATTTGTTCTGGATCTATCATTGGATCAAAATCCTTCTGCAAGTAAGGATGTCTATCCTTCAAATGCTCTGAGACAACATGAGGCTCATAGCACATCAATCCTTTCTTCTCCATTTTATAAGAATTTTTTATTTTAAATTTATCTGAATGATGTTGGGGTTTTGGGGTTTTGGGGTTTTGGGGTTTTGGGGTTTTGGGG